TCAATACCGATCCATATTAATATTCGTCTTGGCGTGGCTCTATAAGAAACAAATTCCACGATTTGCTGTTGGGTGCTAATGCCCATACAAATTCAATCTTGTTGCCGTCCAAACATAGTTGATTCTTCTTCTGGACCACTATTGTGTAGTTTGGTGTTCATTTGGAACACTGCCTATCTACATTAAGCTTGTTACCTAATTGATGCTGAGGGTCAGAACCGATCCATACTCCGTTTTCTATGTCGTGGGTGAACTCACATCCAAAATCATGTAGTTTTTATGGGGCAATGCCCATCCGAATTGACTTTTTGGTAGGACATGTCAATAACAAGTCAATGGTATTGTGGGTCGCCACATATCCAAAGTCAACTTGCCGTTGTTGCAGGACAATTACCATTCCAATTCATTCGTTGTTGCGGGTCAAGACCATCCAATACGGTCTTTTGTTATGGGTCAATGTCCATCCAAGTTCATTCGTGTGGTTGTGGAATAGTATAGATCTAGAATCACTTTGATGACATTGCTAGTCCATACCCGTCCGAATTCAAGCTGATGTTGCTATGGAGCAAGAAAGCACCAATGGTTTTGATGGTTGGTCAATACCGATCCACACTTCAGTCTTGGTTCTTGAGAGTCATTACCATCTACCTTCAGCTTCTTGGTGTCATATGTGCGGTTGGTATAATGAGTCAACATCTATCAAAGTCTATCAAAGGCAGCTTTTTTATTGGTAGCGAACAATACCCATCCCCATAAAATGCATACAGATCATAGGTCAATTGCTATGGAAACTGAACTTGGTATGATCGCATACCAAGTTAAAAACATGGAAACTGGCATACTGCAGTCCCGAATCGCTTAAAACACGTAACACAGACGTATTTCACTGCAAAAACACGGGCCTGCATTCCGGTACTCTCTCTCTCTCTATATATGTATATATATATGTATATATATATATATATATGTATATGTATAAATATATTCGTCCAAATATTGGCATGAGTACTGACAGGCCATGCCTTTTCAAGTGAGTCGTAGTGCATGGTGTGTCATCGGATAGGTCACAATCAGCCCTCCGAAACATCAAATCCAAAATTTCCAAAGATTCCAAATTTTCTAAAATTCCCAAACTTCCAGACCTAGTGGACAGGGTTTTTCCAAACATGAGGGCGAACTTTTTGGAATTTTTGGAATTTTTATGGAAATTTCGTTATTTTAAATTGTGGAAGTTGTGGACTTTTGGAATTCCTGGAATTTTTTGAACTTTTGGAAATCCGGAAAGTTAGGGGCGAGAATTTCGGAAATTTTTGAATTGATTTGGGAGGGCTGATTGTCACCCATCCGATGACAGACCATGCACTACGACTCACTTGAAAGGGTATGGTCTGTCAACGCGGGGGGGCGACCATCCATATATATATATATATACATATAGACACACACACACATACACATACATATGTATACATTTTTGGGGCCGACCAGGCTCTAGCTAAGGTTGCCGTCCATAGCGCAGTGGAAGATGCTGAGCCCATGGAGACTTTTGACCTTGACGAAAACGCCCCCGAGAAGGCCGATCGGCCAGCCCTTCCGTGTCAGGCTGGTTTGGCGGGTGCAGCTGTAGTCAGCCCGCAGTTCTCCGTGTCGGGAAGTCTCACGAAATTGCTCAGCAAAGACAGCCGGCTCGCGGGTGGCAGTCAGCTCGAGGTGGACGAAGACATCATTCGTGCGGTTTCGCTGTCAACTACTCTGAGGAGCTTTGGCAGGGCGTGGCGCGTAAATCCCCAGCGTTTGAGCCCGAGCGAGCTGAACAGATTGTGGGATGCATCAAAGGAGACAGATAGCATAGATATTTTTCTGTCGCACACGTGGTCCACACCTGGGCATCAAAAATACTTATCTCTGCTGCTGAGCTCTTACTGGCACTATGCGATGGGGGGCTGGAGCATTGCCGCGACGTCGGTGGGCCTTCTCTATGCAGCAAATCTGTTGCCGTCGCTTCCATTTCAAGTCAGTTTGCCGCAGGGTCCGGTGGTTAATATGGCACCGTGGGTACATGTTGTCTCACCCTGGATCGCACTGTGTGGTTTGATGTGTGCTCCGTACATCTCTTCCAGCTTCTCGTCGACGACCCGCTGCTTTCTGGATGTGGTCTTTTGCACATTCTTGAGGACTGTTTGTGTTTTCGCTGTATTTGTATATTTGAACGGACCACTCCGTTTTTCAGTCGCTGTCATAAGCTGTGGCTCAGGTCTGTGTCAACCAAGCAGACGAACTCCAGCAAGAGCGAGGCAGTCTGTTCCAGAAACAAGCTCGCCCTAAGCCTTTCTCGCAGCGGGCAAGAATCCTTCCTGTAGCCACAAGCCGCTATGATAATTACCCAATCTTGCCGCGATGTGCGTGGGCATGTAACCGTTTTTTTGTTTGTGCAAGGGGTTGAGGAGTAGGGGAATTCGCGGGTGGCTGACCTTTCTGAAGATGCATCTTGGAGTTCCCAGGCATTTATGGGATCGGAGGATTTTTGGCTGTGTCTCGAGAGCTCCGCATCTTGTGGAGTCCACCTTACCTGTCACGCTTATGGTGCGAGGCTTGGCTGCGTTTCATGGAGTGAAGGTTCTGATGATTCTGATGAGAGAAGGGGTTGTCGAGCCAGCTGCCGAACAGCACCGAGGTCTTTGAAATCGCGGCATTTCGCAAGGCCAACCCACTTGGAAAGTTGGTTTTTCAGCCGCTGTTTATTGAGCGTGACATCCTGGTAGTTTGGCTATGCATGTACTTGTTCGTAAGCGCGCTGTTCTTTGTCATCGCTTCTGGAGTTCGGGACGGAAACACTCCCTTCGCCTTCTTCTTCAGCAGTTGCTGCCTTGGCCTGCTCCCTGCAGTCCACTACGTCCGGAAAGGCTACAGGGACCCTCGAGCGTGTATGTTGCAACATGTTCTGAAGGAATTCGTGTTGTCTAAGACTGAGAGTGAGACAGCCAGATTCAACGCGTGTTTACATCAGCTTAGGAGCAGGAGCAGATATCTCAGAGCCTCAGCGAGTTTGACGTGAGTGCACTGCAATGCTTCAGCGACTTCGATAAGCGCTTTATCCACTCGGCCGTGATGCAGTGGTACGGAAGCCTTGACGAATTCAACGTATTCGTTCGGGGTCCTCTGAAGGAGGAGATCTTGCAGACGATGCTGCTGAGTCGAGTGCCGCTTCACCTCATCATCGTGGCCATGAGCCCAGTGGTGGGAATTCAGCTTGATGCGCTGGTAGGCATCCTAACGGCAGGGTTTTCCTCTGACTATTGGGGTCAGTGGCTTTTTGGCCAAACCCTGACACTAGACATGCTGACAGCACCTGGGCCAGTGTTGAGGATATTTGTTTTGAATTTGGGGAGGGGCGAAAAGCAGATGGCTGTTTTGGCCCGCTTGCATCTCTTATTCAGGGTTTCCCATGACAGCTAAGCAGATACACTCGCCACCCCAGGCGCCAAATTGCGAGTGTGTTTAGAAGCTGAACCTCAGAAAGACTAAGACTAAGATGTATACAGACTAAGTGTTCGGTAAGCACTCGTGCTGCTGAGGCATGTGAGCTGAAGTGCTTCTTCTGGTTATCGAAACGGTTCGCGAAGCCGCGCTTCTCCCATCGAGGTATGGATTTTGGGCAGACTATTTTGGTGGTGATCCTGTTCGCTTGTTGCCTGCTTCCACTTGTAGCTGTGGGCAGGGCCTACCGGGGGAGTCTGATGGAAGCGACACTCGTGTCTCTGGCGGCCTGTGCCGTTTTTTGTGCCACCTTTATTAGCATGCCCTGCCTCAAGGCACTCGGCAAAGCAAGTTGAGCATGCAGCATTATGCTCCAACCGCGAAGAGCCGAAAAGAGACGGAGTGGGCCTGTAACCAGGTTAAGAATCCCAATGCCCTGTGCCATACGCAGATTACGGTCTCCTGTTTTGATTCAGGAGTGTGGGCCTCTCTTTGACGCTGGTTAATCACAACAAAATAGCGATAACAATGGCAACGAACGGTAAGGCATGGCAACGAATGGCAACGCCCACAGCAACAGCACCAACGATAACGACACTGGTAGTGAGAATGATTCTTGACAATGGTGAAAGCATTATTGCTAACAAATTCAGTAACAGTGATGAGTGATGAGAGCTAATTCGGTTACAATAGCAGTAGCGAAATGATTGTAAGAGAGAATTAATATTGTGTTAGTGAGCAGGGCCATAAAATGGTGATAGTAATACTGATGGTGATGACGATAACGACGATGATCAGGAGAACTATCTTGATATCAATAGTATTATAACAAGGATAACAAACAAACAGCACAAATAACAGTACCAGCAATAACAAGAAGACGACTGATGATAGCAATAGCGATGATAACAGTAATGGTGATAGTAGCAACAGCTACATTAAGTGATTAAGGGGGCCAGGTTGCAGTTGAGACCCATTGAGCGTTGCTGTTAGCATCTCGAAGGACTCGTAGGGAGAAGATGGTGTTTGCATGACAGAGGATGCACGTTTTAATGCCAGACGGGGATATCCTCAAGTGAAAGGTCAGATTTCTTCCTATTCCTCTTGTGCGGTGCAAGCTTACTTTTTTGAATCTCACTAACGTCCGCTTTCGTCATAAAGATGAGTCAGTGGCTGTCTTTCGCTCTCGGAATGTTGTCGAACTGAATCTGGGCAGGGCTTGGGACAACGCTAGAATCACTTCAGGAATCTTCAGATCGGCGCATTGTCAGTTGAACGTTTTGGTGGGACTGGTGCACCATTGCAGCTTTGAAAAAGTGAGGAAGACACCAATACCTTAACTGTTCGTGGCTCGGCATTGTATGTGAAAGGTATGCCGTAGTAGGATCGCATTTGCAACTGGGCGGGATCAATCAGTTCATGACCATGTCCAACACGCCCCGCAGGGCAAGACTGAATACAACTAAGCCTTCACACGTGTTTCCGAGCCAGTGCCAGCTGTCAAAGACATCGGGACCTGGAAAATGGGACAGCAAGCCGCCGGCTGCTGTGCAGAGCTGCATGGAGCGACAAGCCAGCAGTCTGTTCCTGGGTCGCGGGCAAAGGTAGCTAGCACCCTAGTTCTCCCTGGAATGTATAGCACCCGACCAGGGGGATGTGTCCCGTCGTTTTTATACCGTAAGATGTTGCATAAACTTATGTAATTTTTTGATCGGGATTGAAGTTGAGTGTTGAGGTTTGGCGTTGGCTGGTGGCTTGAATTTCTGGGGTGAAGTTTGGGCTGAGATGTATGTAGAAGGTTGGCTTCTTGAGTTCTTGAGGTAGAACTTGGGCTGAGGTCGAGGAGAGTTGGGCGGTATGTATGTATGTATGTATGTGTGTATGTATGTATGTATATATATATATATATATCTGTATATGTGTGTGTATATATATATAAGACATGCATATACTCGTATGCATAAAAAAAGCCTGTATATGTATACGCATATCTATATCTATATCTATATGAAACTTTATATCGAGATCTAGATTAGATCTAGACCTTTATCTATCTGTATCTCTTGGCTTATCTTTATGTATATGTATATGTATATGTACGTGCATATGTACTTGTACATGTTCACTCGCATGTATACATATAAGTATATATATATAAACACAAATATAAATAAATAAATAAATAAATATATATATATATATAGAAATAATAATAATAATAATAATAATAATAATAATAATCATAATAATAATTATACACACATACATGCGTATACTTTTTTGGGGCCGACCAGTGCTCTAGCTAAGGTTGCCGTCCATAGCGCAGTGGAAGATGAGCCCATGCAGACTTTTGACCTTGACGAAAGCGCACCCGAGAAGGCCGATCGGCCAGCCCTTCCGTGTCAGGCTGGTTTGGCGGGTGCAGCTGTAGTTAGCCCGCAGTCCTCCTTGTCGGGAAGTCTCACGAGATTGCACAGCAAAGACAGCCGGCTCGCGGGTGGCAGTCAGCTCGAGGTGGACGAAGACATCATTCGTGCGGTTTCGCTGTCAACTACTCTGAGGAGCTTTGGCAGGGCGTGGCGCGTAAATCCCCAGCGTTTGAGCCCGAGCGAGCTGAACGGATTGTGGGATGCATCGGAGGAGGCAGATGGCATAGATATTTTTCTGTCGCACACGTGGTCCACACCTGGGCATCACAAATACTTATCTCTGTTGCTGAGCTCTTACTGGCACTATGCTTTGGGGGGCTGGAGCATTGCCGCGACGTTGGTGGGCCTTCTCTATGCAGCACGTCTATTGCCGTCGCTGCCATTTCAAGTCATTTTGCCGCAGGGTCCGGTGGTTGATATGGCACCGTGGATACATGTTGTCTCACCCTGGATCGCACTGTGTGGTTTGATGTGTGCTCCGTACATCTCTTGCAGCTTCTCGTCGACGACCCGCTGCTTTTTGGATGTGGTCTTTTGCACCCTCTTCAGGACTGTTTGTGTTTTCGCTGTATTTGTATTTTGAACGGACCACTCCGTTTTTCAGTCGCTGTCATAAACTGTGGCTCAGGCCTGTGTCAACCAAGCAGACGAACTCCAGCAAGAGCGAGGCAGGCTGTTCCAGAAAAAAGGCCTCCCTAAGCCTTTCTCGCACAGCGTGCAAGAGACCCCTGTAACCACAAGCAGCTATGATGAGTCCCCAAAGTTGCCGCGATGTGCGTGGGCATGTAAACGTTTTTTCGCTTGTGCAAGGGGTTGAGGAGTCGAAATTCGCGAGTGGCTGACGCTTTCTGAAGATGCATTTTGGAGTTCCCAGGTATTTATGGGATCGGAGGATTCCTGGCTGTGTCTCGAGAGCTGCGTGTCTTGTGGAGTCCACCCTATCTGTCGCGTTTATGGTGCGTGGCTTGGCTATTTTCCATGAGGCGAAGATGGTTCCTGCTTCGGAAGTTTCGCTATTTTTCGGATTCGGCTAGGTGTCAAGACAGCTGCCGAGTAACACTAAGGTCTTTGAGATCGCAGCATTTCGCAAGGCCAACCCACTTGGAAAGTTGGTTTTCCAGCCGCTGTTTATTGAGCGTGACATCCTGGTAGTTTGGCTATGCATGTACTTGTTCACAAGCGCGCTGCTCTTTGTCATCGCTTCTGGAGTTCGGGACGGAAACACTCCCTTCGCCTTCTTCTTCAGCATTTGCTGCCTTGGCATGCTCCCGGCAGTCCACTGCGTCCGGAAAGGCTACAGGGACCCTCGAGCGTGTATGTTGCAACAGGTTCTGAAGGAATTCGAGTTGTCTAAAACTGAGAGTGAGACAGCCAGATTCAACGTGTGTTTACATCAGCTTAGGAGCAGGAGCAGATATCTCAGAGTCTCAGCGAGTTTGACGTGAGTGCACTGCAATGCTTCAGCGACTTCGATAAGCGCTTTATCCACTCGGCCGTGATGCAGTGGTACGGAAGCCTTGACGAATTCAACGTATTCGTTCGGGGTCCTCTGAAGGAGGAGATCTTGCAGACGATGCTGCTGAGTCGAGTGCCGTTTCACCTCATCATCCTGGCCATGAGCCCAGCTGTGGGACTTCAGTTTGATGTGCTGGCAGGTATCCTAACGGCAGGGCTTTCCTTTGACTATTGGGGTAGGTGGTTATTTGGCCAAATCCTGACAATAGACATGCTGACAGCACCTGGGCCCTTGTTCAGGATATGTATTTTGAGTTTTGGGAGAAACGCAGTTGGATGTTTTGGTCCCCTCGCATCTCCCATTCACGGTTTCCCATGACAGCTAAGCAGATACACTCGCCACCCTAGGCGCCAAACCCGAATTGCGAGAGCATGAACGCCAAAGCCTGTTCCTGTTCTAGACCCTAACTTGATCTGATGAGTGTGTTTAGAAGCTGAACCTCAGAAAGACTAAAACTAAGATCTAGATAAAGTGTTCTGTAAGCGCTCG